ATACCCACGGTAAAATCCCAGTACCTAATGGTACCAAGGGTATGATAATAACAAATATAACGACGAACAATTGCCCACCTAATATACTACGCCCACCAATCGGAATTCAAACACTTTCGTTCGATTCAGCGTTGGTAAACCTATAATCAACCCGTGCAAAAACTCTAAGTTAAATGCACCTAACAACTAACGATAAAACCTAACGATAAAATTCCACGTTCAAACGTGTGAATACACAGAAAATGCACAGAGTAGACGCAGAAAGAGAGAAATATACGTCCGTCCTCTTTATAATAATTTGTAATGAGCGGTAATGAAACTACTGAATTAGAATTATTTATTTTAGTCCAATTATTTTCCTTCTGCGCTAACACAGGAAAAAAATTACCGGATGTTGTTATTGTACTCTCCAACGCTAACACAGGAGAGCAATTTTCAACATGTTTCATGTGAATTACTCACATGATGTAATTCGGCATTACTAATAGATGCAGAATCATTTGAAATGCTCTGAAAACAAACCATCAGAACTATTATAATTCTCATCATTAGATAATCGATCATTTTGTTGATTCTTCTCAACAATTGTTGGTGGTGTTACTGGCTCAATCACAGTGTTCTGCATATACGCAGGACTAGGCTGAGGTTGACTTTTACATGATAATGAGGCTGATGGTTCGTTAAAACCATGTCCACTATGATCACAATCACTGCCATCAGTTTTAGACGGTGTCATATGAGTATTATGTGAACAGCTGAACATTCTTGTTCTTCATAATTAACATCTTGATCATTTACTTGATCATCCACATCATCTAGACGTGTTATATTTGCATACGACGCATAAACATGGCAATCTGGGTCGTCATGTCCAAAACGTTTACATACACGACACTTTAATACTTTACAATCTTTCTTAATATGTCCACTTCCTTTACAACGATAACAAACTTGTTGTCTACCTTCCAAATGGACTGAAATACTAAGTCCAGCTATTTTAATAGAAATAGGAACATTCTGTTCCGCCTCTTTATTCGTAAAACGCACACGCACACGCCGAACGAAGGTTTTAATTCGTCTATATGGGTGTGGAAGTGTTTCACATTCTATATGCATCACAGTTCCCCATTTCGATACAAAAGATCTTACAACGTCATCACTAACGGTTGATGGTATTCCGAGTAATCGGATAGTTTTTGTTTCTTGGAATGGTGTGTGTATATCGAATTGTTGGTCATTTACTTCTAACACATCATTTTTCAAGAAACTTTCTCTTGACTTTTCATCATTGAATATAACGAACCACTCTCTGAGTGAACCAAGATTCCCAATAGAATCTATACAATCAACTGAACCTGCTTTTTCTCCAACCGCAGTAATCAACTTGACACGGTCAATTGTTGTGCCGCCGGCTATGAGAGCCAATAGAACAGAACTTTTTAAAATTTGAAACCGGGACATGATAATGAGCCCTGGTTGAACAACTAGTCAGGCTAAACTTATACTCTGAAGGACAATTAACAGAGAAAAAACTGAAGAGAAAATATATAAAAACAGTGGCTAAGCCACTAATAACTGCAGTTTCTATTTATATGCGGTGGTTACTGAGTTGAACAATTTAAAAATATATTAATGGTTACCTGCATATTTCCAATAACTGAAATTTGAACGAAGTTAATTATTCCACACCAAATAATATAATATTTATAACAACTATAGTCTGCTATAAAAATGTGTAAATATATTATTCAGTTGGCGATAAAGCCTGACACCTAATGGAGCCTAGGCTACGACAGTTATATTATCTGTGATTTTATAACAACTGTAATAGCAACAAAAATTTTTCTGCCAAACGATCGCGATGTTCGTGTTCGTCGTAATAATATGTGTACACAACAAAGGACTTATACACAGTCACTACGTACAGAATCGACGACCACAACTTCGTTTTACTCTTTTATAATTTAACAAACGTGGATATGTATAATCTCACCCCTTGATATGACAAGCGTAACTTTTGTACAGTTACTTCGTAGAGAAACTATGTGTTTCTTTTCTCCTTTATAAAATTACTTTCTTCTCTTCACTTAATGTGTTAAATATAAACCAACCCAAAGAAGATAATAAATCAAAATAAACCTTGATGCGCCAATTAATGATCACAGAGTCTGCTCTCTAATGCCCACTTTCCCGAACCGTAAAGAAAGATATATACGTCTGTAAAGTCCCGCTTTACAATGACCCTAATCCAACTGTTTAACAACGTGATTAGACTACAAATGAAACTGTATCCGTAAATATATATGAGAGTTTAGAAACAATATACGTCCATTTACGAGGCCTTACAGTTTCATTTGTTGTCTAATCATGTTGTTAAACAGTTATACAACGACAAACAATGATACAACGATAAAAATGCTTTCAGTCATCTTCCCTATGATAACATATTTCTGATATCACTTGGCATAAATAGTGCACTTATATATATCTCACATTATATTCGCCATAATTTTCTTTGCTTTCTGAGCTACATGAAATCGTTGAACAACGAGAAACCTTAACAGTGAA